ATTTGCAGGAAGCTGAGCACGAACTTCTTTATTTAAAATTCTACTAACTATATTAGATTCTGGATCAACTTGTTTTTATGATGCTCTTTCATTACATCTTTGCATAAGAGCTTTTCCAAATAAGCAGTAACACAAAATAGCTTCTTGAGTTTTATGATCAGCAAGAATTATAACATCACAAAGTTTTTCATATAAAAGTGTAAAGTTATCATTGCTGGGTTGAGATTCTGTTTCATTCAGGGTTGGAGTCATGTTACTATCTACATTACCATTGATAATAGAACCAGTATATTGTAACTGCAAATTAGAGTTTTCAGAAATTTCTAACATGAATTTCTGTATTTTATTTTTATTAGATTGCGAAATATTATCCAAAGATAAGTCTTGGGATCTAATCTTTTCTTTATGTAATGAGTCCAGGAAATCATTCATTTCTTTATTTTCTGAAGATTTAGTTTCTATGCAAATTGATGATGCAGAACATTGAGTCTTTGTCTCCTGACATACATCAGAATTTGGTGCATTATCAGATGTATTTTCCATCTGTTCAGGAATATTGTCAGAATTTATTTTGGGAGAAATACTAGTATTGGCCAAAGATTGTTTGATTTCCTTGATATCATCATCTAATATGGCAATAAGGTTGGTCTTTTCTTTATCTCTCTGCTCTAGATTCATGAATCTGGCTTCATGTTTTTCCAAAGCTTGCTTTAACTTTGCATTCTCAACTTTAACTTTGATATTCTCAGACTTGACCTCAGCATTCTCCTTTCTAAGGTTAGCAATCTCAGCTATGAGCTTAGAATTCAATTCTCTCAACAAGTCAATTTGGGATTGAGTGTTTACCGTTGTTTTATGTAAAATACAGATATGTTTAAAAGTTTGAGTTAATGCATGGAGTGTACTTTCTACGAAAGATAAAAATTATGAGTGTGTGAAAAAAATTTGAATGTCTTGGTCACTATACATAAATATGTCTCGCAATCCTAAGAATAATAGATGTAAAACCAAGGCAAATTTACTATGAATCCAAAACAGTTTACAATATCAAACTGGAATAAGTATATAATAATAACATGGAAGAGGGAGATATAATTATCATTAATGTATATAACTTCAAGAATGAATAATGCAGGTGTATTTTATGCCAAGAATTCCTCTCAAAATGTATGAAGTAATAGTAATTAATCGAATTTGATTTTTTTGTCTGATTTGTCGCATTATTATGCATGCAGAATTTCATACAGATTGAACATCTATGTTATGCAAGCAAAATTTTTCTGTTGCACTATTGATTGACAACAAAATGCATGGTGATGTAATTATGGTCAATAATTAAATAAATTTTTGGAAGTCTTTTACTTTGATCCAACTAACAGAAATGTCTTCCTCTGGTATCTTGCAGTGCTTTCAGTGGAGTTGCTCTGTTACCTGTTGAGTCTTGTTCCTTCAGCCACAAAATCCTATGTTGAGAAACTTAAGACTTGACCTATTTCAATCATATCTCTCAAGATCTTATGCAAATTCCACACTTCCTCCACCTCTCCTGATGAGTCTTCCTCCTCCAATTGGAAGAAACTTACAAGTATATCTGCAAAACAGCTTCCAGTATGAACATATTTGTTGTTTTTTGCATTACTTGGTTGAGTTTCTCACCATCTTTTCACTATTTGCAGACTGCCATACCAGTGAAAATATTTGTAACTGGCTTTCTTGGTTTTGTATCTCTGGACCTCTGTCACACTTGGTATTGGAACTGGCACAATGAATGTCTAATTACCAATACAATAGAAAAAGGCACTCAACCTGAAACTGATGTTTTGGATGATGAATTTGTTCCTCGACCTCTAGTTGTAGAACGCCTTAAGAGAATTTTTCAGCTGTATAAAAATCAATCATTTTATCATATGGTTTGTGGTGAACATGGCACTGGGAAGACAACATTGACTAGAATTTCAGCAAAAGAAGTTGGGCAGGGTGTTATATATGTTGATGTTCCTGCGAATTTTAATGAATTAGATGAAGCTTTCAGAAAAGCTATTAATTTTACATTTGAGGAACAGATTTCTTTTACAGGACAGCTGATGCGAAAAATATTAGGCAAAGCTAGTGGTAAGTTTATTGTTGATAACAGGTGTTTTAATCCTTACTTTTCCTTTTGTAGATAAACCTAAGAATTCTGAATGGGAGAGAGCTTTAAAAGCCTTTAAGTGTGCTGGTGCAGTATACAAAGCAAAGCACAATAAACCTTCAGTTATCATTTATGATAATGTTAGCCAACTAGTTTACAAGAATCCAGAAATCCTTGATATCCTTCAGAATGATGCCAAGGATAATGCTGATGACAGAAAATACATCGCCGTGTTTGTCAGCAGTGAAGGAAATGTTCCCCGAAGAATGGAATGTAAGTATTTGACAATGTTTTTTGGTGCTCTCAAAAAAATTGTATTACTTACATGGCACTGGGAAGACAACATTGACTAGAATTTCAGCAAAAGAAGTTGGGCAGGGTGTTATATATGTTGATGTTCCTGCGAATTTTAATGAATTAGATGAAGCTTTCAGAAAAGCTATTAATTTTACATTTGAGGAACAGATTTCTTTTACAGGACAGCTGATGCGAAAAATATTAGGCAAAGCTAGTGGTAAGTTTATTGTTGATAACAGGTGTTTTAATCCTTACTTTTCCTTTTGTAGATAAACCTAAGAATTCTGAATGGGAGAGAGCTTTAAAAGCCTTTAAGTGTGCTGGTGCAGTATACAAAGCAAAGCACAATAAACCTTCAGTTATCATTTATGATAATGTTAGCCAACTAGTTTACAAGAATCCAGAAATCCTTGATATCCTTCAGAATGATGCCAAGGATAATGCTGATGACAGAAAATACATCGCCGTGTTTGTCAGCAGTGAAGGAAATGTTCCCCGAAGAATGGAATGTAAGTATTTGACAATGTTTTTTGGTGCTCTCAAAAAAATTGTATTACTTACAGATTGTGATTTTTATTTTTAGCATGTAGTGCCTGGTCACAAGCAAATAAACCAGTGATGGAAATCAGTGACCTTAGTGAAAAGGAATCAAAAGATTATCTGATTAAAAGGTGCACAATCGAAATGAAAGAAGGGAATAAGAAAAATGAATGTAAGATCAAAGAAGAAGTAGATGAATTATATAAATTAGTTGGTGGATCTAAAGGCTGTGGTGGATAAATTTCTGGCTGGGCAGTCCTTAGAAGGTAATAATGATTTATATTTCACGTCAATCAAATTTGCATTATTCTGCTTTGGATTAAGTGCTTTTCCCTTTTCCTGTAGTCATTAAACAGCAAATCTTAAGAGAAGTTGAAAAGAAATTTAAAACTGCACAACTCCTCCGAAAACAACCACATCATGAAGTAGGGAAGCACATAATAAGTGCTTTATTGGATTCTAGGGAGCTTAGCTTTACAACGTTTATGGAATTTTTCAATAAGACAGAGGAATCTGATGAAAAAACACTGTGACATTTCAGTCTCAGTCAGTAGAATACTATATCCGAGAAAATGCTAATATATTCCTTAAATAAGGCCATTAACATTTTTTAAAAAAATATAGGTATACTTAATGTCATTAATGCCTTTTATTGCTAATTAAAAGCTCATGATGTTATAAAATTTATATCTTTCAATACAATTGAGTAGCAAGTTGGTATTCACTTACATTCCTACGTGAATCAGTGATCTAATTCGGAAGAATTGTTGTACATTGGGGATTTTGATTTTATACTCAAATCTCGAAGCCTAATAGCCTAATCTAGCCTAATGTTATTAGGAGTATTTCTCTGGTTGTTGATCCAATAAAGATCAAAAAAGAATGCAAATATATTAATATACATGATTCAGGGACAATGATTTTCTGTGATTCACATATAATTTCACAGATAACACAAAATTCATCACAGAATTTTCTTTTTTTTGGAATAATGTTGTGTGACAACTTTCTATTTAGAGAAGCTCAATTCATCTGAACCCATTTAAGTTTGCATATAGTCGCACAAGATGTAGATATTCTATATATGAATAAATTGTGGATAGTTGTATATATCACAATTAATCTTGTGGAACAAAGGTTGTTATATACTATTTTTTTCCATATTGTATATAGCAATAAAGCCTTTTTCTTATTGTATATGGCTTTCCGATAAAACAACCATGAATGAGACTCAAAAAGGTTATGAAGGAGGAGAGCTTATTGTTCTTTATCAGTAATAATATCAAATTCATATATTATGGAACTTGAGATCTACCATCTCCAAAGATTGCCAAAATTTGACTTATCTTTCATTCTACAAAAGCGATCACCAGAATGAAAGGTTTAATTTCCCATAAAAGGTGAAATATAGTCTATGGCTCATATATTTAGTGCTTGGCGCTTGTGATCTGACTTGCTTTACAAAGAAAGGATCTGGCAAATGGTTGGGGTAACATAATTACTAATCATGTAATTTTTTTTCTAGCAAGTAGTGAATGAAGCGATATAAATAAACTGGATTTGTGAGGCATCATTTCTTATCTTTTCACAATTTTTATAAGGTAACATGTTTGGCTAACAGCAACAAAAAAAGAATTAAAGATGACAAAGAAAATAAGACAAATCTCCACCACATGTATTGATATGGTCGCAAGTATAGTTTGATTTGAAGGATTCAATTTTAGGGACTAGTAAACATATCATATAGGTTGCTTGTTTAAATTGATGCATTCATGATAGATCAACAATGTGTAAAGCATTTTGATGATGTATAATGATGGAAACATAATCATAATTTATCATTAATGATAAAAATATTATATTCTGAGTACATCATAATTTCAAGAAGCTACCATGCATTTATTGATATATTTGCAAGTTTGGTGATTGAAAAATCCCAGGCATACATATATTCTTGAATATATGGTTAAATGTATACTCAAAAGGTTATCATGTGTCTTAGACAACAGGTACTCTGTGCACGTGCCTGCATGTATACAACTATAGGTTGCTCATGCTTTTAAATGAAGAGCAATGGTTATTGATAGATTGTAGAATGGTTAGCTTCATATCATGCGGGATCAATATGGTTGCAAGTCTAATTTGATTCAAAGGATTTGAGTCTAGGCGATCAGATATAATCTGGATGAGTGTAGTGCACATGCTCAACTTGTAAACCCATACTATTGTATAGGTTGCTATTTTTAAATGAGCAACTGTATTGATGCATGATAATTTTGTGAGGTATAAATAATGCATTTTAATGCATTTTGAGAATGCATAAAGAATTTCAGTGATGTGCAATGATGATAACAATATAATC